TTTTTGAGACAGAGTTTTGCTCTGTTGCCCAGGCTGGAGTACAGTAGTGTAATCACAGCTCACTGCAGTCTTGATCTCCCAGACTCAAGCGATCCTCCTGCCTCAGCCTCCCCAGCAGTTGGGACTGCCGGTACACACCATCATGCCTGACTGATTTTTAAAATTATCTTTTGTAGAGATGGGGTTCTCACTATGTTGACCAGGCTTTGTTTGAACTCCTGGGCCTCAAATGATCTTCCTGCCCAGCCTCCCAAAGTGCTGGGATTACAGGTGTGAATCACCATGCTTGATCTTTTTGTCTAGCAATAGTTCTCTTGCAACTCTTCGTTTTCTTCAGTTAGTCATTCTGCGGCTGGCTTGAATGCCAGCAAAAAGACACATAAGCCTAAAAGGATGGAAGTATTTGATATATATAAAGTCAGAGTTTCAGAGCTATCACCTGGGACTGTGCCTGCTTGGATGCCCAGACTTTGGACTACATATTAAGCTTCTTAAGTAGCTACTATATAAACTCCTTTGACAACTCCAAGGGCCCCTTTGATGAGCATTAGCATTCTCTGGACTTTTTGCTGTTGGAGTAGATAACCTGAGTGGTGGAGTACTTCCTTGGTTGTCATCACCTCATCTATGAGGGCAGTGAATTGCCACCTGTGGAAATCATGGGGTGCTCTGCTAGATTCTAATCTATTTGTTATACCCCTCTAAGGGGCTTGGACAAAGCTATTTTATGGCAAAGGTGACTAACACAAGGGTGAAGGCTCAGGAGTTTGTATCTCAAGATGTACAACCTAGGAAGCTCTTGCTTAGATAAGAGATGTTAAAAAAATATATTAGTTTGTAATTGTTATTATTCCATTAGCTTTCCAACACAAATAAAAATATCTAAATTCTTTTTTTTTTTTGAGATGGAGTTTCGCTGTCACCCAGGTTGGAGTGCAGTGGCGCGATCTCGGCTCACTGTAACCTTCATCTCCCAGGTTCAAGCAATTCTCCTGTCTCAGCCTCCCGAATAGCTGGGATTACATGAGCCTGCCCCAATGCCTGGCTAATTTTTGAATTTTTTTTAGTAGAGACAGGCTGGTCTTGAACTCCCGACCTCAAGTGATCCACCCCTCTCAGCTTCCCAAAGTGCTGGGATTACAGGTGTGAGCCACTGTGCCTGGCTGCCAAAGTCTTTATTTTGGCTTGCAAAGCTGATATACAAAGCTTATCTCCCTTCATTTACCATTCTTTCCTGTGCTTGCTATACTTTTCCTCAGATACGTCGTACTCATTTGCCCCTGTCTAGAATGCTCTTTTATTCCCACCTCCAGTCTTTACATGGCTGGCTTCTTCTCATTTATATGGTCGCTTAAAAGTGCTTCTCAGAACCCTTACTTATTACCAAGCGCCCTTCCTTACTGCAGAGTCATGTTCTGTCACATCGGCCTGTTTTTCATCATAAGGACTTTAACTAGAATATAATCTCCTTGAAAGCCAGATCCTTTTCTTTACTGTTAATTGCTTTAGCGACAGAGTTTAGACCAGTATCTGACACATGGTAGGCATGCAGATGTTTGTTGACCACGTGTGACAATGCATACATTTTGTTTTTGTTTGACCCAGGCAGGTCTTAAACACCTCAGCTCAAGCACTCCTCCTGCCTCAGCCACCTGAGTAGCTGAGATTATAGGTGCAGGCCACCCTGCCCAGCCAACTTTTAAAATTTTTCCTCCTGTTGCCCAAGCTGGAGTGCAGTGGCACAATCATAGCTGACTGAAGCCTTGACCTCCTGGGCTCAAGTAGCTCGGACTACTACTTGAGTATTCTACTACTCGAGAATACTACTACTATTCTCCAACCTCGGCCTCCCAAGTAGCTGGGACTATTGATATGTGCCATTATGCCCAGCCAATATTTTTGATTTTTAAGAGAGATGAGGTCTTGCTGTGTTTTTCAGGTTGGTCTTGAACTCCTGAGCTTAGGCAATCCTCTTGCCTTGGCCTCCCAGAGTTTTGGGATTATAGGCATAAGCCACTGCACCGGGCCCGTATGTGTACCTTTTAATTGATCTGAGTTCTAGACTTTTGATGCCGTGGAATTCTACTGATGGGAATTTGGGTTGATGGTGTGGGGAACCCCCATATTTATTTACTAGGATGGGAGGAAGTACGAAAGTTATGAGTGAATAAAACTGGTAAATATTTTAGAGCAAAACGGCTTCTCTAAGTAAATTTAGTAAATGTGTCTAATTCTTATGAAATTAAATTGATTTCATGAGTGAACTAACATCTCAAATATTGAAGTTTTTAAAATTTCTTTTACATAGTCATCTCAGCAAAACTTAAGGAAAATAGAAAGAATTGGTTTGGACCAAGTCCTTATGTAGAAGTCACAGTAGATGGACAGTCAAAGAAGACAGAAAAATGCAACAATACGAACAGCCCCAAGTGGAAGCAACCCCTTACAGTGTAAGTTTGGAAGTATTTTACTATAGTATGTTTTGTTTAGTAGATGATTGGAAATACAATTTTTTTTTTTTTTTTTTTTTTTTT